ATAAATCCGAATTTAATTAATCTTATTTAACTTAAATCCTACTTATAGTCAAACACCCCAAAGAGTTTTTGCAAGAACTAGCAGTGTAAATTATTTTGTTATATTTGAGCTTACTTTATTTGCACGCAAGAGTAGTGCGTAAACGTTAAATACCCTATAAATGCAAAGTATTTTTAATTAACATTATACCAAGCATTAAATTTTTTAAAATTCTAGTATTTGTTTTACAGTGCACTTCTAATATTGTCAACCAAACAACCATTTATGGGTTATCCTAGTTCATCCTCACCATTCTAGCCTAAGGGTGCAAGTCACCACCCAACTTTAATATATTTACTGTACTTTAAAATATTACCATAAGAATTTCGAGGAAATTCAACAGATCATGCTAGAAAGATACCAAAGGACTGCATCGAAACAATCGAAAGACAGAGGTGTCAAGTATCGTGTCATTCGATCAGAGTCATGGACTGACTGAAGGTAAATATATCCGAAAGAATAAACATTATGCATCTGAACTGAGGGGAAGGTGTACGCAATCAACTCCCTCAACTGATTATAAAATTACCTATAAGAGAACTGATGGTCACTCCCTAGAACACTTTCTCAACCCTCTATGAAGACCACTTTTCCGAAGGAAAGCTGCCTTTCAGATTACAACGACACCCCCTCTATTTGATGGTCTAAGATCTTCCTAAAGATAAAAAAGGATTCTATACAGGGTTCTTTCAAGAAGGCTGCCCAAAGTCTTTATAGCTAACTGAAGAGCTCTCAGTCGACTGAAGTTTTTTAGCCAATCGAATGATTATCAGACAATCAAATATTAATATTAGTGGATCATAAATACCCTATTTCAAATAGTTATGAATGTGAAGCAGTGTCGACGACTATTACGAATGTTAAATTATGGTTGGAGAAAACCTTCGTTTATGGTAATTCATCTGTCTTAACATTTGTCTCATGTTGCATTGATCTTCTACATGTCTTAATTTTTCCATTAGGAATTTTTAATTTCTTCAATTTTCTCAAGAAGCCTGAACCCTTTATGCATGAAAAGCTTCTATGTGATGAACTCACTAGTAACTTTAAATTTAAAGAACTTAAGTTCTTCATTCGACATCCCAGGTTCTCCAAGAAATCTCAGGTGTTCTATAATCCTGTTGGTTCTATAACATCCATCTCTTCATCATTCTTTGATCAATTTAGCATCATTCTACATGTATAATGTGTGACTGGTCTTAAATTAAGTTGTTTATCGATCATTATTTTCACTCGTAGTCATCCAAGGTAATTGTCATTATTGAAGAATGATTGGCATGACTAGAGATGAAGCTTGCTTAAATACTTGAACAAATAACATTGCATATATTGTAGGGGCATTTACATACACGCGACTCGAATCTTTAACATCACATCAACAATTTCACCATCACTATCTTTTTAAAACTGAATTACACCATTTCATATGGCACCAAAGTGTTATAATGTAAATATCAAAATTTGGGTGCTAGATATGTAAATACATAACAATTATTTGGTATGCATGTAAATGCTCTTATCTTTTAAAGAGAGCCTGATTGACCTTCCACGTGTCTTAATTTTTCCATTAGGAATTTTTTAGTTTCTTCAATTTTCTCAAGAAGCCATAACCCTCTAATGCATGAAAAGCTTCTATGTGAGGGACTCTCTAGTAACATTAAATTCAAGGAACTTCTTCTCCAAGAAATTTTTGGTGGTCTATGATCCTGTTTGTTCTATAGCATCCATCTCTTCTTCATTCTTGGATCAATTTAGCATCATAAGACCTATGTAATGTCTGGTCTTAAATTAAGTTGTTTATTGATCTTTATTTCCACTTAATAGTCATCATACGTAGTTGCCATTTTGGAAAAATGAATGGGAGATTGGCACGACTAGAGATGAAGCTTGTTTAAATACTTGAACAAATAACATTGCATATATTATAGGGGAATTTACATACATACCACACAATTCTAATGTATTAACGTATCTGACACCTAAACATTTATATTTGCATTCATGCCGTTCAAATCATTAACATCACATCAACAATTCTACCATCAACTTTTTAATACTGAATTACACCATTTCATATTGGTTTAAGACACCAAAGCGTTATTAATGTAAATATCATACTTTAGGTTTTAAATATGTAAATATATAAAAATTATGTGCTTGTATGTAAATGCCCCTATATACTAAAGAGAGACCAATATTTCCCAAAACTGAAGTTCCTATATATATATATATAAATTATGTGGTTGTATGTAAATGCCCCTATATACTAACGAGAGACCAATATTTCCCAAAATTGAAGCTCCTATATCATTCTAAAGTTCAAGAGGATGTGAATGCTAAAGAAGGCTGAACCTGATTAGTACTTACGAGAATCATTCATGTACTAAAGTTGTCAAACGCGACCTATAATAGCATGGGAGATTGAACCATCCAAAGATGCAGAGGAGATGGATAGGCCTATAACAATTGCACTTGAAGCATTAAGATCATAAAAGAATTGCAGTTAGGTTTAGGATGGTAATTTTATTATTAATCATTTATTGTTGCTGCAAAAATTGTATAGAGTTAATTAATGTTCAGGAGATCAAGCATAACTCATTGGGAAAAAAAGTGTGCTTACAATGGCTAGTTGGTCACTACTTGAGAAGGGTATTGACTTGTCACTAGGGACCATTCACAGGAGATAGAGGGCTACAACAGTACCATGGAGATATGTTCTTACTTTCAAATTGAATTGATCTAGACTCATTGGAGTATCATTATAGACCACTATCTTTTTTTGAGATGGCTCTTTAAAGAAATAAAGCTAAACCCACCATCATGAATGACTATTATTAATCATTCGTCTACTATAATAGGAAAAAAATACTGTATTTTTGGGATATCAAATTATTCAAGTACATTTTATTGGATCAGTATTGCCAACAATATTTTCTGGGTTGACTGCATGTTCGGAGGGTCAAATGCAAATTTTGTTTGCTTTTAATGGTAAGTTGCTAGGACAAATGAGCTAAAATATGGGAGTTATGATTTGGAATGCCTTCTGAACTTCAATTCAGCTTATTCAGGACTGAATTGAGCAGGATGAACAAATAATGTTTTAGCCATTCAAATCAAGGCCAGCTGACTCGACGCAAGCTTAAACCAAGCAAAAGGGCATATGATATTAAGTTGAGATCTTAATTCATGTTAAACAGGTCTCAAAAATAATGCTAGGCATGATTTCTTTCTATATTATCAAGGAGGCTGAATTTTAAAAATATTACAGTTTGACTGTGCCAAAACTTAACTATGCAATTTTAGCCATGCATGATCTGGCATGAAGAATAAGGCCTCCATTAACGGAGTTGGCTTTTGACTTTTTCAAATCTATGTTTCATCATGTTTTCTCTGAAATTTTGTTGTTTTAGTTTGTATTCAAAGTAACTCCTATTGTAGTTTAGATTTAAATTTCAATTTAAATTTCATTTTTTTCTCATTTTTTTATTGTCAAATTGCATGCTGGTTTATTTATCTTCCTTCTAGGCTTCAAAATCTATTGAATACAAGTTAATTCAAGTGACAATATTCTCTTTCCCCAATTTTTGTTGATTTTTTTCTAATATTTCGGGAGACTACTTCTCATTCCATACTTGTCCACTCTTTCTCACTCAATACTTGCCCACTCTTTTTCACATAAAATCATACCTCCATGCCACTTTGATATGAATCCCTGATCAAGGATCAATACTACTAAGATGAAAATATATAGATCATTCTCCTTCTATGTTTAGGTGTAATTCTAACTTTTCTTATCATGGTTTCTCCAAGTCAGCCGTACACGCTAGGAGGGAGGGGAATAGGATTTACAAGCGAAACTCGAGCTTGGTTTGGAGAAAGATTATTGCATGTAATTCTCTCGTATTTTACCTTTTCTGTTCTTGTCTTCCATTGATCCTTTTGGCTTAATTATTCCTTGAGATAATTCTAGCTTCTTGAAACTTTCCACGAAACTAAATGCCTAATCATGTGTGCATCAAAGGCTTGGAATTTTCTAAATTCCTTAAAATCAAGAGGTCATACTTTGTTTCTTTCATGGAAGCCTTAGGTTCTTAACAAAACTTAGGTGGCATGCAATAATATTATTTCTGTAGTATTTCGCTTCATCATTTTCTTGGATTAATTTGGCATCATGATACTACATTCTGGTGTTGGGTTTATTTTGGATCAAGTTGGCATATGAATTTTAGACACAAATGAGTGATTCATAAGGCTGGCCCCAATTACTTGTTTGAAGGACAATGCTGATATTCTTTTTGGGTTGTGCAATTAATTAGCTGGTTCACAAATTGCTTTGATTCTGCGGATCACACCATCATAAATTTTGTAGTTTTTGTGAGAGAAGCTAATGGATGCTCACTGGATTACTTGAAATTAATCAAACCTATGATCTGAACTTATTTTTTGTTCAAAGACGGCGATGTATGTTACTCACATGCGCCTCCATTCATTTCTTTGGGTGTTACTGCACTCAGATGATCAAGGACTGTTGAAATGCATTTTTTTCAAATATGGTGATGGTCTCACTTATTCATTTTAGGATATTTCATAGATTTTGTTGATTTCTCTTACTACATTTGTAACTCCATGTTCATTTGATTATGATGGTTTCCCTTATTAATTTTAGGATATTTTTTGGAAGATTTACATGAATTTCACTCAATTCTTATGTAACTAAAATTTCTACATAAATGCCACTTTATCTATGCATGTAAAGGTGTATTTCACTTTTTAAAAGTTAATATAGTGATATTTTTTATATGATATGAAATATTTGGGTGGATAAATGTAAAAAAATCTAAGTTTGGTTGTTAGATATGTAAATACATAAGAATTGGGTGGTGTGTGTAAATGCACCTTTTTTTCTTGTTAATTTCTTGAATAGCTTTGCTATTGCTATTCATTATTCTTTACGTTTTCAGAGACATTCACTAATCACTTTGCGAAGTATGGGGAGATCACTGATTCCGTTATAATGAAGGATAAGCACACCCAGATGCCTAGAGGATTTGGATTCATTACATTCGCTGATCCATCCGTCATTGATAAGGTTTTGGAGGAGGAGCATTCTATTGATGGGCGGGTGGTAGGACCATATTTGTTCAAAGAATGCCTTTTCATATGTTGATATTACAATTGCATAATGGATTGAATTATTGGGATATTTTTTTTATTTTTAATTTCAGGTTGAAGTCAAGAGAACAGTTCCAAGGGAGGAGATGCCACCAGCAGGAGGTCCCAAGAGCAAGAAAATCTTTGTGGGAGGAATACCGACGTCCTTGACAGATGGTAGATTTTACAATTTTATGCTATCCAGTTAATCAGTTGGTAATCACATCACTCTTTTTAACATTGCAGATGAGTTCAAGGAGCAGTTCTCCTCTTACGGTGTAGTGGTTGATCATCAGATAATGGTGGACCACACCACTGGACGTTCTCGAGGCTTTGGCTTTATCACTTTTGAGAGTGAGGATCCTGTTGACAAGATTATTTCTAAGGGTAGGATGCATAATCTTTTTGGGAAGAAGGTAATTTTTATCTTTTGCTAAAGCTGACATTGCCATAATCAACATGCATAATATACTGGATATGAAGTTTCTTTGTTGAAGCACGTTTATTTTCTAGCCTCCTGTGCACATATAAATCGAATGATAATACAAGTAGAATAGTATTTCAAGCGCTTTGTTGACCCTCTGACTAAAGGTCTGTTTAGAGCCATTTTTTGTTGTTCTTTTTTTGCTTTTGTTTTAAAAAAAACAAAAAATAAAACATTATCATGTTTGTTTATGTATTTAAATTATTTTGTTTTTAAATGATTCTAAATCGTTTTGAAAAACACCAAAAATAGAGAAAATGTGTTTTCATTGCTTTAAAATCTGTTTCACGGGATCCCAATATCAGCTATCTTTCTTCGACGAAATCATTGCCATGGAAAACAGTCCTATTGATCATGCTGTCCTCCACGTCTAGAGCACCATAGAAGGCACCACCCTTTAGAAATAACGACCTCCTCTGACGTGACCTTCAAATTGCATTGACGTTCAACCCAATCTAGTGCAGGAGATCGACATCGCAACTGAGGCAAAAACAATGAAGGGCTCACCCGAATCAGCCCAAGGACGTTGGTGATGCCTGTACGGGAAGGGAAGAGGGAAGAGAAGCGATCACTGGACCTATATTCGACAACATCGACAACGTGGTTGGAGAAAATGATGGCCATATTGAACCTTCTCTTTAGCCTTCTTTTCTGTTTATTTTTGTAGCTCTCATAAGGGCTTTATTGCCGCTGCTAAGCTGCAAGAGCAAGCGAGAAGGTTCAATCTGTATGTTAAACAAAAAAGAAAATAAACATAAAACAAATAAAAAAGCAAAAAAAAAAAAAAAAAAAAAACAAAAAACTTCCTTTGAATGTATTAAACCATTTAATCAAGTTAAGAGATTCTGCTTCATTAGATTATGTGTATCTGATAGTATCCATTTCTATAAATACAAGGGCTATGTTACACAAACACTTCCAATCAAGGAGTTGTGCAGTGTCGGACAAGGACGTGACTTTGACATGGATCGAACATGGTATAGAAGTGCCACAATTAAATAATATTAAAAAAAAGAGATACGTGTTGGTCTTGTGTCTTCAATTCCAACACGCGTCCTAAATTAATGAATACAAAAATTCTGAAGAACATATTAAGATTGCAATTAAAAAAATGTAAAATTTAGGAAAGATTTGCATACATACCACTCAATTATTATGTATTTAGGTATTTAACACCAAAATTTTAATTTCTTCGTCACCTTAAATATGTACAAACATTAAACAGAAGTATCTGATTTGATTTGATTTATATATTTAGATGTGATATGAAACATTTGGGTGGCATAAATGTATGTAAAAATCAAAATTTAGGTGTAAGGTATGTAAATACATAAGAATTCATGGGTTGCATGTAAACGGTAATCACCCCAAAATTTTTTAAATAAAAGTTAAAATCTTAAAAAATAAAGTGATGAAACCTGATCATGCTTTATTGTGACTCTCATCTAGATGTCTTCTTCCTTCGATTCACTTCAGTTTTGCTGCCCTCCATATCTGTCCCGCCCTTGGAGCTTCGCTTGGGCTTTATCACTGCGCCACCACCTACCAGTCTTGAATGCTTTGTCGCAATTCTGGTTCTCTGCTCTGCTTATTGATCGGTGTCTAGTTAGGGTTTCGACTTTCGAGTTTTGACTTCCGTATTGGCTCTCTAGTTTTTAGTGTCTCTGCAGCCTGCACGTGACACCTCTGGACATTGACCGATTATGATTAGGTACTCCTCATCTCATATTTTGTTCCAAAAATCAAAACAAAATAATGTTGAGTGAAAAATCCGGAGTTTAGGATGAAATTAAGAATCCCCTAATTTTTTATAGATTTTTATTTAGTTCATACACAATTCTTCCTCTATATATCGATAGTTTTTAATTAGGGAAATCAAATTTTGCTCTAAATTAATTTTGAATGTGAGCATGGTAAATCGTTTCTTCAAGTTTAGAAAGTAGCAACACCCATGACTTTACATTAACCTTAATTTTCTTTTTCTGTTGTGGCTAACATTACTTGATATGATTATGCTTATAACTTCATTTTGATACGTCTTCTCTATAGGGATGTCAAAAAAGCTCGTTGTTCGCGAACAGCTCGTGTTCAGCTCGTTAAGTAGCTCGTGTTCGACTCGTTTGTTAAGTAAACGAGCCGAACACGACCAATTTTTTTTAGCTCTAATTATGAACGAGCTGAACAAGAGTAACTCTTTGTTTGTTGGTATTCGACTCGTTTTAGCTCGAAATAGAAAAAAAAACATATAATTATTTATAATATATATATATATATATGTATATATGTATATGTATATATATATATATATATGTATATGTACATATATATA